TTAAATAATTTTGCTTCTTGGAAACACTCAGCCCTTGCCCTGTCCCTCCACAGGGTGTGGAGCCCTCTCCCAAGGTTCGGAAGACCACAGCTTCCAGCTTGGGCACGCATGGAGGTTGTCCTCCCCAAATGCTGGGAACCTGGTGAGGACTGGTCAGCTGGGAGAGGAGCCTGCAGAAGAGCTGGTACCATCCCAGGGCAGAGCCTCCCTTGGGTTACAGGAGCTGCTAGGGAGGACATGTCTGCAAACGTGGGGAGGAGAGGGAAAAGTGCCACCAGCGAGGCTGGAGAAGGGTGAACTGAGAAGGAGGAAAGCAGGTGCGACCACTCCTCGGTACCTTCTCCTCCAGCTGGAAAGTCACATCTTCTAAAGTAGAGAGTGAAACAACCAGACTACCCAGGCACCACAGCTTGGTCTGGTGTATCAGGGAAAACTGCACCACGTCAGAGGTAGGAGACATCCATGCCCCAGCCTAAAGGACCCACTGGAAACAATCCTGCCTGCACAGCACTCTGCCTCCCTCCAGGCCAGCACCGCAGAGCCCTTCTGCTGGACCTCCACTTCCAAGAGACCTTCCACCCTTTTCAGGACCTCTATCACAGGGCTGTTAACACTGCAATAAAGACGAGACCCGTCCGTGCCCTCACAGCCAGCTCATAACCCTAGAAGGTCTGGGATTTTACCTCCGTTCTGGGAGCGGAGCATGCTTTTCTGCACAGCTACATCTGTGCTGCGAGCGGGTTCCCCGGCTGGTGACAGCCCTGGTGCAGACGGGGGCTGAGCTTCCAGCTGGCTCCGTTCCCTCCACAAACAGATGCAGTTCCTATATCAGGGTCTGATTTATTCAGCAGGAGTCTCGCACATTAAGTGTAGTTAAGTCTGAAAACAAATCTAATGACTTTAAAATAAATAGCCAACAGAGGACTTGAAACTAAAATTCTTCCTTCCTCTGACACCCACCATATAAACAATAATAATTATATAAAACCGTGTCTAACACATGACTACACAAGGCTCTGGTGACCAAGAAAAGCACACGCTGCTTGTCAGACATAATTGCACATTTGGTTTTTCAATTATTTCTTGTCAAGATCCAGAGCCCACCATCTGAATGCTGACATTAATTATTGTAAGTATTTAGTTTTACAATAGCGTTATGGAGGCTCCCAACGATTACTCCGAGGTCTGCAGCTCCCAACACTGTTCCCACACTGCCCTCCAGTCCCTCCAAGCCCTCCAGGACTGTCACACAGACTCACACCAGCGCGTGATACTGAATCTGGTCCATCATGTGCAGAAGGGGCTTCAGAAGAAGCTTCAAGAAACTTTCCAGTAGACAGCAGCAGGGTAACTGATCCCCAGGCAACATGCCTCATCCACAAGAGCCCACGTCCCTTACTGATGCCATCTACCAGTAGAGTCCCTTCTGAGCCCCCCTTGAGCACCCAATGCGCTCCAGCAGCTAACTGCCCATCATGCAAGAAAACATCCCGCCTTTTATTGGCTTTTAATTTGCTGCCTTTTAATTTTGTTGACTGTCTCTTTTTTTCTTGCAAAAGGAAGAAAGAAGTCTCTGATCTACCTTTTCTGGTGTGTTCAAAAACATGCACAGCTTTGTCATGTTGTCTCTTAGTTGTCATCTTCTCCAAGGCAAACAGCCATCTCTCTTCTAGCTCCCTTAAAGGAAGGGGGTTTTATGCTACTAATAATTCTCTTCACTTTTTAAAAATTTCCCATTAATAAGCATTCAGTGAGGTACAGGAACCACACACAAGTTAATAAGGTAGGAGAACAGTGAGTGCTTTCTGCCACCACTAATTCTTAGCTGCAAACAGCTGCATGCGCTGAACCGTGTTATTTCAAAGGCAGCAGACAGGCCCGATCAGAGCTGTGGGGGTGATAAGATCATAAAAATCCTGTGCCTTCAGAGCTTTAAACATTTACTTGAAACAGAATAAAATCAATTCAATACAATAAATAAATAAAAATAGGATCGACCCAATACTACAGTCACCACATTAAGATCAAGCATACTATAGTAAAAAAAAAAAATAAATTGCAGAAAGATAAAGTTGTCCTGGCAACCTTATTTTGCTTATATTTTTTACTGATATAAATTAATCGTTAAAAGCTTCCTCAATAGTTTCCAATTAGCGAGAGTTTCAAGCAGCAACAACTTTGAAAAACATCTACCTTGTATCTCCAGCCACTAATGACCACACAGATTTCATCAAAGCCACATTTCAACCTTCAGTCACTGATAGAGCTTTCTTGAAATATTAAATTTTTATTCCATTTTATTTTTTTAAAACAGACTTAGTAATCTTCCTTTTTTTGACCATCTTTTGTTCAGTCAGGTAGATGCTGAAGTGGATTTTCTTTCCACTTTTCTAAAAGAAAAAAATGATGGCCAGCCTCACACTTCTTCTCTATGTATGTACAAAATAACAGTGATAATGGAAGGAAGTTCTGCCACCCCGATGGGTGCTTGGGTACCTGCCTTTGGGAAGGCCATCGCTCACGTCCAGGAGGATGCTTAGGCGCTCGGCCCCAAGGGCACCTCCTGCACGCCCAGGAAGGGAGGACACCCACAGGGGACACCCCAAGGGGTCAGCTCCCACAGGGAGAATGCACTCACCCACCTGCTCTGCAAAACCCTCTGGTGAGAGCTAGAAAATTGAGTTACAAGCCAGAATAAAGAATTTAGGGGAAGAAAGCAATGCTAGGCTCCTTTCCCCTTGCTCCTCAGCCTATGCCCAGTTTTCCCTCCAGCACTTTGTTCAGATTAATTCCCAGCATCCCGAGAGCAAGCATCACTGGACCACACTGATGAGCCACCCCAAAACTGGGAAAAGAGTTTTCCTCCACGTAAGACACCTGATGCTGGCACTGCTCCCCACTGCCAAGCCCAACCCAGCAGGTGCCCCAGAGGTGTTCAATGCCCGGCAGCGCTGCCGAACCAAAAAGCCGCCAGAAAGGAGGGTATTTCATTCTGAAACACTAAGCAGCAGAGATGGGGCGCCGGGCAGGGACCGTGGCTGTCGTGGCGGGGAGCACTCGGTACACGTTCAGCAACAGGAGGTGGGGGGAGGACCCACACCGCAGCATTTCGGAGATCAGAAGAACAAAGCAGGCTTTTAACATGGAAGGATGTGTTTCACCTGAGGGATAAAACTTCAGCAGCGCTTTCAAGTCTCCGGAGGGAGCAAGAGGGTGCTCTGGCATACAGTTAGCAGAGAAACGGTATCGCCGGCAGTGCAAAGGGGAGAACATGAAACGCAGCTCAAGAAGGGGACAGGCAGTGCTGGAGGGGAGCACTGGTGCTTGCTGCTTCACTGCCGAGGGCTGTGGGTGCCCGGAGAAAAGCTTCGTGTCTCACCAGGGTCTGCTCCACACAGCACCGGTGGCCTGCCCTGGGCAGGGGAGCAGTGCCGAGCCCTGTAGCGGTGACCGGTAAAACTTGTCTGGGCGCACTGGCGGTGGACTCGCTCCGAGCAGACCACGCTGATGCGGAGAGAGCGGTGGCTTCTGCCACACCATCACAGCTTCGCTGCTTGTGTCACTGCAGCGTTCGGGGGCTGCCTGCACTGCTGTGCCCCCTCACTGAGGAAGGAACAGGTGACACTGATAGAGATGATGCTAGGACAGGGTGCAGGCCCCCATACCGTGCTGGTTTTTTTCCACAGCAGGCAAACTGCCTCTGGTTTTCTGTTGTCCGTCATCCCCCATCCATGCTGATGTAACCCACAAATGTGCCTCAGGTGCTCGGCAGTCCCCACAACAAGCTGTGCATCATCCCACCATGCGATGGCACCTCCCTGACTTTCCTACCATCTTCTCCAACTCTCATGGATGTTTCCATGCTCTGCTGCAGCCCGCTCCCCTTCCCAGGCCACACGCTCCCCTCGCTGGTGCATCTTCAGCGTTGCTCCTGTTTCCAGCCTGGCATCTCATCCTCTACATCTCCACCTGTTTTTACCACAAAATCTTTTAAACCTGGGAGGTGAGTTTGCCACTTTGCTTGTGGATGGCAGACAACCAGCAATTGGCTTCGAGCACGCACGGGACCAGGTAAATCTTACCGTCACCAAAGCCATGCTTTGCTCCCGGCTCCCACCACTTTCCCAGCGCTGCCTGGCACATCAGTGCTGCTCTGCAGAGGAAAGCCAGCTAAAAGGAATTTGTGCCTGGTCAAGGAAGGAAAGCTGCCCCTTCATCCATGCTTTCACAGCTCTGGACTGACTTCACCAGACAGAGATGGAGAGGGACTGAGAAGCACCATCTTTACCGCATCCCAGCAAGGCAAGATGCCCTACAGCATCAGCAGGAGATGGAGAGGCCACAGCACAGGGCAAACCCAACCTCAGCACATCCCTCTCCTTTGTGCCAGGCTTTCCTCCTGCTGCCCGTGCCGGGGCTGCGCGCCTCCTTTCCGCAGTACGCAGGGCTGCCGGGACACGCCAGCCGGGGAGCTGCTGCATGCCCCAGGCACCCTGCCCAGCACCACGCACACTGGGGGTGGCAGCAAACGGGACACCTGGAGCAGAGTCCCCCACGTGGGACCAGCAAAGACATCCCTTAGCAGGATCGGAGGGGGCTGGGGTGGTGGGGCACCCCTCTCCTCTTGTCCTGCGCAGGAACAGGGGGGTCCACTCCCGACTGTCGCAGCATGGCCCAAGGTCTCCATCCAAGAATCTCATCCTGCAATGGTCTTTACACCACGGCGTGGGCGCAGGGCTGGGCAGACTCAGCTGTACCACCCCGCACTGCACGCAAACCACGTCTCCTTGCAGTCCCCGAGGCCAGAATGATCCTCCTTGCATCTATCTTTTTAGCAAAATCCAAAAATGGGTGTATGGACACAGTGCTCTAACAGCTCCCAGCCCATCGCTCTTGTGTGGTCACCTTTCACCACCCGTCTCCGAGATGGAGAGCTGCAACCAAGCAGAGCCATGTCTGCTCACCACATCCCACCCCAGCAGAGAAAATCATCCACCTACCTGCTGGAAGAGCTCCTCCGCCCACTGCTGTTGCTCTCGTCGGCCTAAGGGGGCAAAAGACATAAAAATAAAAAGCTGTTTAGGTTAAGAAAGGTAAGACTGGCCTCCAAACTCTTCCTGCTAGAACACTGCACCCAAAATACCTGGGGATTTTCCATTCTAAGTTCCACACATGCCCTGTGCTCAGTGTTGGTGGGACATGTGCACCAAAATCCAGGTTTGCAGGAGGCCGAGGCAGGATTTCGGACACAGCCCCACCATGGAGGAGACTTTCTGAGTCGATTCCCTCCAGTTGCTCTTGTGCAATTATTTTATTGTGCTTTACCAAAGTCTAAAGTAACTATGCCTCCTATGCAAAAATATGCAATTTGCAGGAGGGAAATAAGGCAGAAATAGCCAAATTCAATGGTATGTCCAAGCTGAGATGGCCTGGCTCCTGGATTAGAGGGGCAGGTCCAGCGCGCCTCCCTTCGTTAGTGATGAATTGTCTAATTGAGCCCCTCCGGGCCGTTAGAAGGGGCTGAGCAGGGAGTAACCAGGGTCTCCTCCTTTTTGCCTCCTTCCCCCAGCTCTCTGATGAGAAGCTTCCTTGGAAAGACAATATTATTCCAAACACAGAAATTTTATTTCTGAATTTGTGCAAACACAAGTTAAAAGATATTAGCTGCATTTCACATTTTGTGCAAATGGCAGAAACAGGCAATTCATGTGCAGCAGGATGGGGGCTAGCCAACGATTTCGATAAAATAAACCCTTTTTTAATTTAAATGCTAATGCACTGAATTAAAATTTAATAACTGAGGAAATTGAAAAGCCGAGCAGGAATATTGGAAATAAATCCAAGCAGAAACAGCTGAAATTAAAAATTCTAGAGAGTGGGAGGATAGCAGCTAAGCTGTCTTATATGATTACTTTTTTTTTTTCCCTTTTTTTTTTTTTTTTTTTTTTCAGAAGGAGGGGGGGAGGGAAAAAAAAAATCCTATCTTTGGCTGGCTGTAGGGCAGTAAATCGAGAGTGCTGTGATTTATTGCTCAATTTTCCTGAGGGGAAAAAGGCTTTCTTTCATGCTGAAATATTTCATAAATTTCAAGCCAGCATAAATTCTTAATTTAAAAGTTATGGAGGTCACATTTAGTGCACTGGTGCAATTCTGAAATCTTAAAGGAATAGCAACCAAAAATTGCAATTTGATTTTATTTTTTTAATTCTTCGTGTAAAATTTTGTTCAAAGGGTTTCTCCAAGTTACACAAAGCAGAAACACATCCTGGCTTCTCAAGGTTTAAGAAATCCACTGGAAATGAAGAGATAAAAATCTAATTCAATTAGAGAAAGGTATTTTATTATTATTATTATTATTGTTAGACACTTGAGGAATTTCTGTTAAAAAATTTCCTCCCTCCATTGCCTGGGAAAAGCCAGAAGGGAGGAGCTGACAATGTAATTGCTTCTGTTAGATCTCCAATCTTTTGTGAGCACTGATATGTTCATTTGTTATACAGCTGTTCAGCTACAGAAAGGATGTCAGAGCACCCATAATTCAAAGCAATCAATCAAAAATTAATGATTTGTCATGCTTACACAATGGAAAAAAAAAAAAAAAAGGCTTTATGGGTTCCTGCAACTGGTAGATTGCTCAAACCTTCGGGGCATTTTCTAGAAGATTAGATCTGTGCATAAAAAAAAAAAAAAAAAAAAAAAAAGAAAAAAAGAGTAATTAATATCCAGCCAGGGCAGAAACCTTGTGGGGTTGCTGGGGCACCGGTGTTATCCAAAATCCCCTAGTGATGGGGTAGGCTACAATTCCCGTCCATTTAGAGAGCTTTCTGCACAACGCAACCCCGCAAGTCACCCTGCGAGCCAACATTCCCCAATCACAGAGCAATCGCCCAGGCTCCTGCAACTATAATTCCACGTGAAAAACACCCGCTGAACATAAAGGTTGCCTGGACAAGTGCTCATGAAAGCCGCAAAATAGAGAAGCCAAAGCTAAAAGCACAGCCTTGACTCTGCCTTCACGTCATCTGCCAGACGACTCCAGCTGCAACACCAACTGTTACCCAAATATTACCAAAAATTAAATATTTCAGTTTGGGAAGCACATAGCCAACCTAAACTTTGGAAAACTGTCTGAGACAGAAAAGTTATTCATCCTCCACATAAACAAGAATTTCTTTACATATAAATTCATTCTGAGAACACGTCGTGCAGGGATCGTTCTCCCAATATGAAGCGTATTGATGTCGCGATGCCGTATTTTATTCCTGGTTATACACACGTTAGCTGGTGCCTCTGGTGTGATTTACCACCCAACCTAATGCAAGTATTACTCTGAAGGATCAGGCATGTAATTCATTTTATGTTCCTTTTCATATTTGTATTTGGAGCTGAGCGAACAAATTGTTGGAAATAAATGACGTGCTGACTGCAGCCTCTGCGATTCCCAACCATCACCAACCAACTGCACAGCATGTTCTGGGGCCAATACACAGTTTTAATATTTACTTCTTTTTTTGCTTACCTTCCCTATTCTGTGTGTGTCTGCCCTGTCTGATTTCCCCTTTCTGTCTTTTTTTTTTTATTTCTTTTTTATAATGCCATTTTTTTGCTTTTTGACCTCTTTTCATGAGCAATTCATGGACTCTCCTCTCTCAGAACATAGCACATACCAGTGCAAAGGACAAGAGGTGCATGAAGAGCACAGAAAGGGAGGTGCAACAGTGTGACCCCACCAGTGTTACGGAGTTTCCTTATTTTAAAAGAGAAAAAAAAGGAAAAAAAGAAAAAAAGGGAACCACAAGAGGTAAGAGCTCTCAATCTAGATGGTTTCACACCAGCCAAGATGCTCTTGGAGAGGAGGCATCTCCTAGGCATCTCCCATGGAGGCAACGCTAAAAACCCACCAATGGACATGGGCAGAGCTGGCGCAGTTGTTTTTGGGCTGCTGCAAGCCCACAGCTGACTTCTTGGTTTGGATCTGTTAGACCAAAACAGCAAGGAAAGTCTGAACAAAATCAGACCTAGCTGTCTTAAACATTTCTGGATGCTTAAGTAAGCCCATCCTCACCAAAAGTGCCAGCCAGAGACACCTTCACACACTGTTCCAGTTTCCAAACATGCAACTAACTAGCAAATTTCCTGTGCCAGCAATTTGTCTTGGTTAGAAACTCTTCAGGAACAGCTCTGTTTAGCTCAGCACTTGTGCAGCGCCAAGCACAGCGAAACCCAGCCCATCCTAAGGCCGCAAGATGATTTAATCATAAATCACCGGCACGGGCACTACCCAAGACCACAGCGTGTCCAGCCAAAGCACAGGAAGGTAATCTCCAATCGTACAGGGTATGCAAAGGTGAAAAAGCATAATAAAGAAGCACTGTGGTGTTCTCCTCAAACGTTGCAAAATAAACACAATTACAAGCTTAATAAAAAAGGAAATATTTCAGCAAAGTGCACAGAAGTTGACCTACGTGAGCCATTTGATGTCCCTCAGCTCTCCACGGAAACAGGCAGAGCCACGGTGGTACGATGCCCAGGACCCTCTTAGGTGGCTCAGACCCTCAGCAGTCACAAAGCAAATCTCAAAAACAACCCTGACGCCAAAGACCTGAGGACTCGAATCAGTGGACGTGTCTTTGGCGCAGGGCTGGGTGGCAGCACCCCTTGTGCTGCCCGAAGAACCAGCCATTGCAGCCGGCTGGACCCCCCCGGGGCAGCCTGGGTAACTGCCACCTCAATGCTCAGCAGAACATCTGCACCCCGTGCAGATGTGCAACCCCTGGCCTCCAGCCCACCACCCCACCCGAAAGACAACCGACCTCCTCCTCTCCTGCTCTGCTTGGGGCTCACCTTCAGGATGGGAAAAAACTGGGAGATCCACACACATATTTTTAAAAATCTGGCTGAAATAAGCTTTTTTCCTTTTATTTTTTACAGTAAACCCATTCGGAATCCAATGTGAAGGGATGATGCCTTTTGCAGGCCATGCTATTAATCCATTTAAAAGAAAATGTTGCATTTAGAGTCTAAAAAGCAGTATTTAAGGACTACAAATATAGTAAGCAAGTCGAAGTGGTGAATTGCTGGAAATCACCATTTTACCGCCAGCAACCAGAATGTGCCGAAATGGGTCAGAGCAGCTTTCGACAAAGTAGCGTCTTTGGGAAGGGCAAAGAGAAATCTCCTGCGCACCAGTTTACCCAGGTAATTTAATTCGGTGACTTCTTCATTTATAATAGAAAAAGCAGAGGAGCAGAGTTTGCATCTGCCTGCCAGTCAGTGAGCAAGGGAGGACGGGCACAGGGCTCTGAAACACTGGATAATTAGTCATACAATCTCTCACATAAAATAATTTACAATTCAAAATATGATTCCCTAAAGCTGCTTTTGTACATATCGGGTATGTTTAAGGTAGTTTTGTTTAACTAACGCTAATAAATATCTTTTAAATTAAAATGCATGAAAGCAGAATGTGGTTTCTGGCCATATGCTCCTCGACTCAAGTCGTAAGCGAAAAGTAAATCATGTGATAAATGAGAAATGTATCAGTCAACATCTCCTAACAGGATAAAGTGTCAAAAATTAGGAGTCCAAGCAGATGTATAACTGACCTGAGAAATCCATGTTTATAGAAAGGGCTGCACTATATTAGGAAAAAAACCCCACATTTTAACAGTTACTGCAAAACAAAAAAATAACTAGAAACCATAAAAATGTTAAATGAGATTTCAGTAGATTTAAGCATGGGCTTTCTGCCTGATCACTTAAATTATGATTAAAAACAATTATTCAAATCACTTGGATTTGCATCCACGTACGCCACGCTCAGATCTGCTCCCACGGGCATGACACCCAGCGCAGGACAGGGGTGCCAGGACCCCCCCATCCGCCACTGCCAAAGCCCTCCCCACGGGGGGAAAGGTTTTAAATCCATTTATTTATTTGCACACAGCTACTCCCCGCCCCATGATTTGCCTCTGAATTTCATCCTGGCTCTGTCAAGGGGAGAGGCCCCCAGTTCTGCCTGGGGTTTGCAGGAGGAACAGAAGC